TTGAAGCAATCCTCCTGCCTCAGCTTCCTGAGTGCTAGGATTACAGGTGTGCACCACCACACCTGGCTATCTGGTCTTTTATGTCCAGTAGTGTTTGTTTTATGAAACTGGGTGAGCCATTGTTCAGTGCACATATGTTTATAGTTATTATCTTGTTGAATTGTTACCTTAACCAATATGTAATGACCTCTTTTACTCTTATCATCAGTTTTAGCTTGAAGTCCATTTTATCTGAAAATAGATAGCTACTCCTACTTGTTTCCAGGCTCTTTTTGCATTAAATGTTTTCTATCTTGTGATTTTTACTTTTTTTGGGGGGGGGGTACCGGGAATTGAACTCAGGGCCTCATACTTGCCAGGCAGGTGCTGCACCACTGAGCTACATCCCTGGTCCCATCCTCTGATTTTTAGTTTGTGAATTTTTTTATTAAATGTGGTTTGTTATTTTGTTTTGTGTTTGTTTGTTTATGGTACTGGGGATCAAACTCAGGTCCTTGCACTTGCAAAGCAGGCAATGGAACCATTGCACTACATCCCCAGCCCTTAAATGTGTTTTTGTATGGAGCATACCACTAGATTTGTTTTTTTGTTTTTGTTTTTGTTTGTTTTTTGAGACAGGGTCTCACTATGTAGTTGAGACTGACCTGGAACTCACTGTGTAGCCCAGGCTGGTCTCCAACTCACAGTGATGCTCCTGCCTCTGCCTCCCGAGTGCTGTGATCACAGGCGTGTGCCACCACACTCAGCTGGGTTTTGTTTTTTGATCGAGTCTACCAATCTGACTTTTAATTGAGGAATTGAGACCATTCATATTGAGAGCTACTACTGAAAGTTATTGACTTATTCATGTCATTGCATTATTTTCTTGTTGCTGATTTTCTTTTTTCATTTCTGCTTAAGCTGCCCACCCTATATCATGTATTCATTCTACAGACTTTCTGGCACTGTTGGCTTGTTTCTTTCCAAGATATCCTTGAGAATTTTTTTAGAGTGCTGGTTTAATAGTCATGATTTTCTTTAGGTGTTCTTTGTTAGGGAAGGGCCTTATTTCTCCCATCAAATATGAAAGGTAGCTTTGCAGGATATATTAGTCTGGTATTGGAAGTTGTTTTCTTTCTTTTTTTTTTTAATGGTCCTGGATATCAAGCTCAGCTATAGAACCGCTTGCAAGGCGGGCGGTGGAACCACTGAGCCAAATCCCCATCTGGGAGTTGTTTTCTTTTGAGCCTTGAAAAACTTCCGTCCAAGCTCTCCTGATCTTTAAGGTTGTGTTGAGAAGTCTGATATAATTCTTTATAAGTATTTGTTGGTGTTTTCTAACTGCTTCTTTTTTTTTTGTACCAGGGATCGAGCTCAGGATCTTGGGCTTTTGAGGCAGGCGGTGGCATCACTGAGCTAAATCCCTAGCCCTATAACTGCTTTTAAGATTCTTTCTTTGTGTTGGGATTCTGGGATTCTGGGATGACTATGGTTTTTTTGGAGTTCTTTTCTGATTGTGGCTGTCCATGGTTCTATAAGCCTATCTGTATGTTAAATTATTTTCCCTTACTTGGAAAGTTTTCTGCCATTATTCCTGTAAACAGTTTTTTTAAAATGCCATCTGTGCCATTGTATGGTTTTTCACAATCTTCATCTGTTCTCTCGCAGCTGTTGGGTGCATTTTCCATGATGTCCTGTTTTTAAGGGATTACTGAGTGTATATTCACCAGTATTAGCCTCATCTTTTAGTCCTGACACTGTCTCAGCACACTGGCTACTTCTGCTGCCCATACCTTCAGTAGAATTTTTTATCTCCTGGATTTGTTTGGTACCTTTTCATGAACTCTTAATTCTTTGCTAAACTGGTCATTCATGTTTGTATCATTTTGTTTAGTTAGCTCCACTAGCTTTTTACTGGTGTTTTCTATAAGCCCACTAATCATTTAAAAATCCATTATTTGTTTATTTATATAATCTTTGAGCTCAC